ATAGCTACAAACCTTAGGTCAGCCATTCTGTGCGCATTCATTTCTTCCTTGTGCTTTTTTACCAAATGCAACAGTTCAGAAGTTGTCTTTTGTTTATCGAAAGGGAGTGAAGATGCAACAGCAGAGGCTGCTTCCTCCAATTCTGGACTATGTTGGTTGCTGAAAAAAGAAATCCAAAATATAAAATGCTCATTTTACATTCTTTGTTGCCCATATTTTGCTAACCTTCTGAAAACAGACAGAAAATTAATAATGAACAAATGAAGAATGAATGAAGAAATCATCATCCAATATTTTCCGATGGTCATACTGTACTAGCAATGTACAATGTACAACAAAGCTTCAAGGACCTTTCTCTCCTTTATTCTTTCCAAGTTAGCTTGTGACACCCCTTCAAATAGAGAACTGTTCTCTGTGAAGCAGGACATATGTCCACTCGATTCCTTATTAGTTATGGAAAGGAAACATTTTCTAGGCTTCGATATTTATATTGAAAAATAGCTTCATAAATGTAATAAGCTAGTCATGGTTAAATTATACCAATTGCATAATACAGTGTTAGACAGCTTTAACACTTCAATTATTGTTTTTCAGGTGATAACCCCTGGCAGATATTTTAAATTACTCACTCTTTTTATCAGAACATTTTGCATTTCAAACTGGCCATTTTCCTATTCAAATCACCTTAATTTGCATAGGAAATTTTCCAATTTCCTTTTTTTCCCGTGGGAAATTTGAATCGCTATTAATATGACAAAACCTTTGTTCTCAGGAAAGTTTATTCTGAAAAATGAAATGAAACCCAAATATATGTTTTTTTAAAATATATTTAGACCGGTCATCTTATAATTGATCAATATCAGGCAGGCTCCAGATAACATATTTCTAAAACTGCAAAGTACTAGCACGAACAGGATATATAACAAGTATTCTGGTTATCTTCATATTTTCATTTTTAAGGGGGAAAAAAACCTTACCCATTGGTACACAAAGATCTATCAGTAATGTCTACATGTATCTTTGCATATCCTGCGTAAACCCAAAATAGTCAAAACTACTGTACTCCATATGTACTCTCATCAATTGCAGTTATTATAACACATCAGCATCAGGAGGACTTCAGGACTCCAGATGTTATCCAGAAAACTGAAGGAGTTTTAATCTACTTTCTTCAACCTGTATAATATTTTAACATCCTAGTCCCTCTCATGTGCGGCAGACAGAATTCTTTCTGCCTAGTTAGCTGACCAAAATTCTCTAATAGGTGATCTGTGATTCACAATGAAAAGGCAGAAGCCAGGACACCAGAACAAGCAGGAAGGAAGACTAGCCAATGCTTACAATGAAAAGAAAATGAAGAGTGACGTGAGAAACAGTAACACAAGGAAAAGAAACCTGGGATTGTTGGGCAGTCCATATAAGGCTTTAGCTGTGGTACTGCAGAACTGGGTTAATAAATTGCTAACGCCAACAGAAACAGCAGCAGGTATCCTGGTAAAGAGCCAGTGTGATTTAGTGATGAAGGCACCAGGCTAGAACCAGGAGACTGTGGGTTCTAGTCCCACCTTAACATGAACACCAGCTGGGTGACCTCGAGCCAAGTCACTCTCTCTCAGCCCAACCCACCTCACAGGGTTATTGTTTTGGGAAATATAGGAGGAGGAAGGAGTATTAATTATGTTCACTGTCTTTAGTCATTTGTAAAAATAATAAAGATGGGATACAAATAAATAAACATAAAATAAATAAATGGCACTGTCTAGCTCAGAGGTAGGCAACCTTGGCTCTTTTAGGACTCTTGGACTTCAACTCCTAGAATTCCTGAGCCAGCATGGCTGGCTCAGGAATTCTGGGAGTTGAAGTCCACGAGTCCTAAAGGAGCCAAGGTTGCCTATCCCTGGTCTAGCTCCTGGAAACTGGTTGGGTTTTTTCTTTGTTCCTTGCCACCACAATTTGGCAGAACAATTTAAGGAGAGAACTCTTGGGGTCATACCCAGAGCCCACAGCTTTTGAATCCTTCACTGAGAATGACTCCACACAAAATCAGAATAAAGAGTCTGAAGAATGTTTCCTTCTTTTCACAACATAGTGAATAAATCTGGTCATTTCTGAATCAGACAGAACACATATCAAATGTCCCTCTGGCTCTTTATTATTTTCCTTTTACATACACCATTTATTTATCACTACCCCTTTTTGGTAAGTATCTCTTCAAACAACCACAGAATTTTTAGACAAACAGCATGAAAGTATACTCCCATAACTTTACCCTTTTTCATCATCTTCCAGCAATCTGCTTTTGGCATTCTCCATAACCTTCTTCTTTGTACTTAGTTCTATTTTCATTCCATGGATTAACTGCAGCAAATTTTTCTTTCTTTGTACTTGTGCTTTCTGCTCCTGATCTGGTGAAATATTTGCATTGGTGCTGCCGATTTGGTCATCTTCCTTAGTGCAGACGACAGGGGTTGTGCTGAAGAATTTGTGTGCTTTACTAGGAAAGATGTAGAAAGCACAAACTAACGATACAAACTGATTTTTAAATTTTTTAAAATTTAAAGTCTCATAACAAGAGATCATTATCACAAAATCAGTTAAAATACAAATTACAATCACAATACAAAAAATAATGAAATACATAGAGCAGCCAAGAAAATGAGATAATCCATAGGTGTTAATATAATCAGGAAATTGACTCCTTCACATACTCAGGATTTCAAGCCAGAGCACATAACTAGGCTCTCAAGGCCTTACAAGTAAATATCTTCTGCCAATAGTATACTGATTTTGAGCAAAAACAAACAGATTGCACATAAAAATTGATTAGAAACAATCTTGTAAGGATTCGGGTTTACAGAATAGGGGCTATCAGATGAGAAAATCCCAAAGATGACACTGGAGATGGAAGTGTGTGTGTTTGTGTTAGAGAGAGCAAGAGAGAAGCAATGGATGGAAACTAATCAAGGAGAGAAGCAACCTAGAACTAAGGAGACATTTCCTGACAATTAGAACAATTAATTAATGGAAGAATTTGCCTCCAGAAATTATTGGTGCTCCAACACTGGAAGTTTTTAAGAAGAGATTGTCTGAAAAGGTATAGGGCAGTGGTTCTCAACCTGTGCGTCGGGACCCCATTTGGGGTCGATCGACCATTTCACGGGGGTCGCCAAGCAAGGCTGTCCGCCATTTTTTTTGTCTGCCATTTTTTTTCCCTTTTCCGACGGGTGCCTTACTTCCCTTGGGCTGGGCCAGCTGGTGGTCGGCCTGCTCCGTCTCTGCCGCTTGCCAGCTACGCCTCGGCCGGCGCAGGGGGCGGAACCACGCATGTGCGGCGCTCCCGGGCAGGGAAAGTCCTTGACTTACGACCGGTTGGGTAGTCCTCAACTTACAACCAGTTTAGTCCTCGACTTATTACCGGTTTAGTCCTCGACTTACGACCGGTTGGGGTCGCGGCATTAAAAAGGTTGAGAACCACTGGTATAGGGTTTCCAGCCTGAGCAGGGGGTTGGCCTACCCCAGAGATAGGCAACCTTGGCTCCTTTATGACTCGTGGACTTCAACTCCCAGAATTCTGCTGGCTCAGGAATTCTGGGAGTTGAAGTCCACGAGTCATAGAAGAGCCAAGGTTGCCTAGCCCTAGAAGACATCCAAGGTCCCTTCCAACTCTGTAATTCTGTTATTGTAATCAGGCATAAAACTACTGTTGCTGAATCAATTCCCGTGTTCACACAGTGCATTAACACTATTCTGATTTACTGAATTGTGTAGCAAATGTGTAGCAACCACAACCAAATCTAGTGTCTTTCGTGAACTTAATCCAAAACTTTCTGAACGAGCTGAAATTAATATAAACCAGGCTTCTTATCACTCTCTCACCTCTAAAACCTACTGCCTGCGCATGATTCTTCACCAACGTTTGGAAAAAAAGAATGATGCAGAGAAGGGGCAAACATCTGAAAGGAGACTATTATTTGCCTTTGAAACGGGGCATCAAACACCAAGCCACCTTCTTTCCCAAGTACCTGCACAAGGCCACAACCACGTCCTCTCTTGGAGTACCGAAGCGAACCAGAGCATAAAACCTCCCGGGGACCCTGACGCTTCTCCGCCACATTATCCTCGAAGCAGCAAGGAGTCACGCACAAGCTTTCTGTACCACAAAGTACTTCCGCCGCAAGCTTCCGATAAGCTTCCGCCAGTCCGTCGGGAACGCAAGCCCTCGAATATTGGTTCCGCAGCCAGATAACCTTAGAGAGGGAAACCTTCGCGGACTTTTGGATATGATCGTTTCTCGTTCTAAACGGGAGGGACAGGAACGCCGCCGTTTGAATATTTATTGCATACATGCTAATATTCAGAGGGTGGGAAATTATGATTTCCAAATCATATTGGTAAGGCTCGCCTAACACCCTAAGCCTCAAACCGAACGAGCTACATGCCCTGCATGTAGAGCGAGGTGGCAATCAAGCCTATATGCTGCATGCAAAAGGCGTAGATCCAAGAAGGGAATGGTAGCCCCTCGGCTACCAACGCCTAAAAGGCAAATTGAGGGCTGCTTGGTGCTATCTGAGCTTGGTTGTTTTCTGGCAGACGTTTCATTACTAGATAACAACGTCTAGTATTTCATCTGGTGTCGGTGCCGGCTTGCTTTTTTTTCTTTTTCTGTTTTTAAATAACGCATCCCTTGATTGTCTACTGCTAGCACTGGTGAGATTACCTAGTTTCCTTGGGTAATGAAACATCTGCAAGAAAACAAGCAACCTCAGAGAGCACCAAGGATCCCTCGTGTCAACCCTGAGCTACAAATATTCTCCTTTAAAAGGTAAATTGCAAAACGTCCCAGAGACTCGCGATCCCCTCGCTCCCTCTAAGGCTGCCAAGACCACCTGGCCAGCCTGCGGGGCGGGCTTTGGAGGCGGCGGCAGCAGCACCATCACCGCCTCTTGTTCCGCTTCCCAGGCCGTGCTCCAACTCCTCCTCCTGCCGTTTCCCCAGCCAGGCTCGTGGCGGGCGGGCGCCCCTTCCAACGCAGGTATATAGCGCTCGCGGCGAGGAGAGCAAGCCGAGCCGTTCTGGAGAGGCAATGCAGCTGAAGCAGCCGAAGAGAAGCGCAAGGCTTTCGGTGGCAACTCCAGCGGAGAGAAGTAGCCGATTTCAGCGGACACCCACCTGGGACACTGTCCATTCCTCCCTCGGGAGCTGCCCTCTTCGGTCTGCAGGGATCGGCCGGTGCGAAGTCCTGTTTTCTTGGCGCTTTTTGGGGGGTGTCCTTCGTTGGTCTAGTCTTTCATCTCGTGTCGGTGCCGGCTTTCTTTCCCCCCCTATTTTTAAATAATGCATCACTTGATCTTCTGTGGGAGACGCAAGCTAACACTGCTTTTACATTCGGAGAGATGGATGTAGCGTCTGCCTGCAGATCTTTAAAACAGCTGAGTCCCTTCCCTGGATCAGCTGGCCCACATGTCCCAAAAGATCCAAGATGCAGCTGCTTTAAAGAGTTGTAGACTGATGCTACGTTCGTGCTCTTGTCTTTGCTAAAGCAGATTTTTGGAATAGAACCCAAAGCATTCCCCAGCCCTGATTTAGGTATGTACATATGGAACATGAACATGGCACATGAATTAACCATATGCCTAAATATATATATATCCTGCCCTTATGATTTGTATCCTGTCCCTTATTACTGTATAAGTAACTCAAGGCTGCAAACACACATAATGCTCCTCTTTTTTCCCCACAACAATCCTGTGAGGTGGGGTGGGCTGAGAGAGATTGATTGATCTAAAGTCATTTAGCTGGCTTTCATGCCTAAAGCAGGACTAGAAGTCACAATCTTCTGGTGGTGTCTAGGCCAGCACGGTCATCACTATACCAAATTGACTCTCTAAGCATACAAGTGTATACTTTGTTTATAGATATGATTTGCATATACCCACCCATCCTAATGGTATACAATAATTAATACGTTTTTGGTTGTGGCAATGGCTCCTCCTAGAGGATGTTGATAATAGAAATATTTATATATTTCCAAGTAATTTAAATATGCCCTTTTAATTTATGTGATCAGTTGTGTTATTAATATTGATTATTGTGCTTTGGCTGTTGCTAGCTGTGTTGAGAAATGTTGCAGGAAGGATATTATTGCTTGAAACAAATAAACCTGTATGTATTTTCCTGAGAAATTGAAAAAGAAAACTATACATTTTGCCAATACAGATAGTCCTTGACTTATGACTACAGTTGAGCTCAGCATTTCTATTGCTACAGTTAAGTGAGTTGTGCCCCATTTTAGAACCTTTGACAAATTAATCACTGCAGTTGTTAAGTGAATCGTGTGGTCCTTAAGCGAATCTGGCTTCCCCCATTGACATTGCATGTCTGAAGCCACTTAGGAAGATTGCAAATGGTGATCACATGACCCTGGGACAGTGTAACTGTCATAAATACATGCCAGTTGCCAAGTGCCCAAATTTTGATCACGTGACCATGGGGATGCTACAATGGTCACAAGTATGAAAACCAGTCATAAGTCACTTTTTCAGGGCTGTTGTAACTTCAAATGGTCACTTAGTGAAAGATTGTAAGTCAAGGACTACCTGTAATATATTAACTTTGAGCTATGTAAATTGTTAAGTAAGTGACTATGATCAAGGCTTTCCCAAGACATTCCTTTGCAATGGGTAATTTTAATTTACTGTAAATTATCCTAAAGATTAACTTGTTACAACTAAGAAACCTTCAGCCTCCTAAAGAAAGAGGATGTGAAAAAAAACTAGATAAGAAGTTGGTTTAACTTTATAGGGGAGATGGGCAGCACAAAAACATAATACATAAATAAAAATAAATAAACCTGATAGTGTGTGAGTTGTCCATGTACTTTTTTTCCCCACAAGATGTTCAGAAGTGTGGTGTGCTTGTATGTTTTGCCATTCTTGACTTCTGGCAAATGCCCTGCAGATTTTTCACAATATTTTCTAAATGGTTTGCCAATGCTTTCTTACTAGAACTGAGAGAGAGATTGGCCCATAGCTCAAGAGCTAAAATAAAGGAGTCAAAAGAAAGTAATATATCCATTATAGCATTATATTGTGATGCCTTAAATAGAAAATTTCTCAGACTTGATGATCACCAGTTTTATACACTGTATAATAGATTTAGTAATACAAAGGTAAAATGGTTAAATAGATGTATAATATTTAATTATGTTTGTTTTGTTGGCTGGCTGAGATTGGCAAAATTCTGATCCGTCTATAGGTGTTATTGGTAGGTAGATGACTATTTTTTGTTGTTGTTAGGATGCCAAGTTTTTCTATAGGTGGAAGAGGGAAAGTGTGGAAATAAAGATAAATGTTGTTTTCCACTGATACCTCTCCATTAAAGTTATTATTGTTGTTACTGATTGCCATCAATTGTCTGCTACCATCCTGAAAGACACAATTTTAGTAAGCTAGTAGTGATGGGATCTTGTATTTAGTATTTATATATTAATGATTAATTGTATAATCATTACAATTATTGTAACTATTCTTGCAGTTCTAGACTGCTTACAATAAATACAGTAACCCATCTATAAAATATTCATAAATACGGTACAATAGTAGCCTGTTAAAATCACTGAACGTTATTAGTAATTTTTTGAAATTATTTTTTTTAAATTTAAATTTTTGAAATTATTTTTTTTTAATTTAAATTGTTAAAAAATTGCAGTCAAAATTGTTGTTGCTCATGGACAAATTTTTATATCTGAAAGGTCTCTTGGAAAGGACTGCTCTTTCTTTTTTACATCAGAGTACCAGCACATCTGACCTTGTCAAGCTGTTCTAAAGAAAGGGGCCTGCTACCAAGAATACCTCAAGCCCCGTTAGTAGGTATAATCCTTTATCCCCTGATTTTTTTTTTACAGGATGAGACTCCTTGTAGGGCAAACAGAGTCTATATGAAAAAGCTGATCCTAAAGGTAACATGTTTCCAAGCCGTAGATCAGTGGTTCTCAACCTGTGGGTCGGGACCCCATTTGGGGTCGATCGACCATTTCATGGGGGTCGCCAAGCAAGGCTGTCCGCCATTTTTTTTGTCTGCCATTTTTTCCCCTTTTCCGGCGGGTGCCTTACCTCCCTTGGGCTGGGCCAGCTGGTGGTCGGCCTGTTCCGTCTCTGCCGCTTGCCAGCTACGCCTCAGCCGGCGCAGGGGGCGGAACCACGCATGTGTGGCGCTCCCGGGCAGGGAAAGTCCTCGACTTACGACCGGTTGGGTAGTCCTCGACTTACGACCGGTTTAGTCCTCGACGTACGACCGGTTTAGTCCTCGACTTACGACCGGTTGGGGTCGCGGCATTAAAAAGGTTGAGAACCACTGCCGTAGATAATCCCAGCACTTCAGGTTGAGCCATAAACTTACTGGCAAACAATGTAGCTCCTATAGTATCAGTGTTGCTCTGTAAAACTGATTGGTCCCAATCAGCAAGTAAGTTGTGTCATTCTCTGCCTACGGAGTTATTTTCAAGGACAGCTCCAAGTAGTTGATAGAGGCAAGAGTGTGACTCACTGTCTTCAGCACCTTCTGGATTTTGCAGTTATTTTAAAATAAATCATTCCTCCACCGGATACGTAGTGGAAAAGAAATCACAATACGTCTCCTGAAATCTATATTTTAAAGATTTTAAAAGAATGCATTGGAACAGACTTCAGCTATCTGACAATTCCTTAGTGTACTAAGCCTGCATATCTTTACAGCAAGAGAGAGTGCTAGAATTGGGCAGGATTCAATGGAGTTTGAGGAAATATGAACAGGAAATAGTAAGATGCTTGGGCAGGAGAGTTTGATGATACTTTGCAATATGGCTTTATTCTGCCTGATGCTTTTATTGGGAGCTAACTTCCTGTGAAAATCACTGAAATTGTTCAGAACTGAAGCATAGTTCCAAAATCATTGTGCTTAGATCCTAACGAGAAACTCTTGCCTGTACTTTCTTTTTGCTAACTTTTTATTTTAAAAGTTTGTATTCGCATGACATTTCCGCATGGTTTGGATGAGAAATCCAATCCCAATAATTTATATATTGGAATAACTTTTAGATAAAAAACCAAACCACCCGAACAACTTAGTATATATTTAAATGCAACATGGTACTCAGCGTGACACATTTACTTGCTTTCAGACTAACATTGTCATTTCCCTCTCTCTCCAAATCTAATTTAGAGATACCCATCCCAACTCCCTGTGTGCTACAGGAAACTTTGTGATTTAGAGTCACCACAAAGCAAATAAAAAAATATGAAAACAAATCCTGTCATCCAAGCTGCCATTGACCTCACAGCTGGGGCTGTAGGTAAGTCTTAGGAATTGCTGTTTACATAAATCCTGTTAAAAACTGATAGCAGATGCTTTTATGCTCTTTAAACAAATCTCTTCTCTGGAGGTATAAGGCAATTCTGTTGACAGCAGTGTGAGTCCTAAAAGTGGCTTTTATAGTGGAGGGCACTAAAGGGGAATAATGTTTTGACCTTGTCCTGAATTATGATCTTCCCATGAAAATTGCTTCCCTTCATCTAACCCCTTCCTATGGAGGAAAAGTAAATGTGTAAGCATTTTTTGTCTAATAATTTCCCAACTGCAGCTTTTAATTTATTGAGCCCTTATTTCATGCTTACACAAGCATTTCAAAATATGTCACAAGAAAAGGTTGAGCAAAGACCGATTGGAGAGACAAGATAATCTTTGTTTTGTGTTGCATTCTTTGGTATATTTAAGTAGTGTGCTGGTTAGTCAACTGCCTTTTATTTGTTTGCTTTCAGGAATGCAGCAGTGTAGATGGCAGTATTGGTATTTCTCTATAGTGTCAGCTGTTACCCAGGTGAAAAGTGAAGACTGCCTATCAACCACAGACATAGAACAAGGCCTATCCTGGTTTGGAGCATAAGGCTCTCCTTGGTAGGGGGGCTTTCTCGCTCCGAGGCCAAGCAGTTGCTCATGGGAAGCCTATAAGCTAGAGAGACACACAAAATGCATAATACTTTAAAGTGAAAACCAGCTGTTTGTGTAAACTAGAGGAAAGTTTCAAATTTACTCTTGAGACTCCTTTCCTTCTGACGAGACCTGCAGAGAAAATGTTGCTGATATCAGAAGCCCCCTCCCCCCCAAAATGGGTTCTGATGCAGAACTGCTGCATTTTCCTTCTTCTAGGTCTGATCTGGGTGTGTCAGCGAGGCCAGTCTGAAATTAGTGGAGCTTAATAGCCAGCGTGCTGCCTGGGGAATTCTGGAAGCTGAAGTCCACACATCTTAGAGTTGACCAGGTTAAGGAATACTACTCTATTGTATATCTGGACAAAGATCCAGAAGTGGAATCTATAAGAAGCCGGTACCAGTATGAAAGTGAAATTTGTAGGCATCATTTAGCTGCTCGCTCGTTCTGTTCTTTAAGAAGAAGGGAGGAAAAGCAGGAGCTACAAATGCCCACATCTGCACTGGACCTAGCCCAGGGGTAGGCAACCTTGGCTCTTTTATGACTCGTGGACTTCAACTCCCAGAATTCCTGAGCTAGCCATGCTGAGGGGAAAGGGAGAGGTTTCCAAGCTCAGCCATGCTGGCTCAGGAATTCTGGGAGTTGAAGTCCACGAGTCATAAAAGAGCCAAGGTTGCCTACCCCTGACCTAGCCTCATCCAAGACAGAGCCAAGTTTGCACCTTGCTTGCATTTCTTAAGTCGGCGTAGTGGTCACCACCGTGGAAGAATAGGGTCTTTTCTATGTTTGCATTCAATTGTTAAAAATGATTGCCAAGAGCACAAAATAATTAATTTCAGCTGTAAAATGTGTGTTCTTGGATGCAAAGAATTGCTTTTTATAGTTCAAAGCATTTCACTTAGAAAAGCCTCCAGATTGACCTTCTTTGGTTCTTTGGTTTTGGAGGAGAACAAGACGTGGTTGTTCCAGCAAGCGGGACTGGCCTAGGGGATTTTATAGGGGTTTTAATTACTTTTAAATTTGACATTCTCAAATATTTCATTTTAATCAAATTTTAACTAGGTGTAATATGTTAGCTTTTTATCATTTGTCAGCCGCCCTGAGTCCGAAAGGAGAAGGGCGGGATATAAATACAATTAATAAATAAATAAATAAATAAACAATGGGAAGATAACTTTTTGCTCCCGAGTGTTTCTTCTGTTCAGGGTAGCAGGATGTCATAGGAGAAGTCACTCTCTTTTCTTTTCTTTTCACCATCTTAAGCTCCTCAGTGCCACTCCTGAACTTTTCCCGGCTTTTTTTTTTCCCCAAATCTGAGAAGTATTGTGCCTCTCTTCTACATCTCTAGAACATTGATCACTGAGCACTTCCAAGTTAGGAGAACATTAGCTTTCTTCTGTGCTTTCTTCAGAAGCAAAACAAGTTTGTGGTGGGATTCCTACTATTATATGTTGTGAACACGCGGAAATCCCATAATTCTTTCAGGCAACTTAATCTTAGAGCAAGCATCAGCAGCTGTTCCACTTTTTTATGATGGTACTGATGAGATTAGATTTAGATCACAGTTCTTTTTCATGCTGAGTGAGGCATTGAACTTTGGTTTCCTAAATCTGAGTCATAGCCACAGATGCCCTATGTGCTACTTTTCTAAACTGAGGCACTCCATATATCAAGACTCCCAGAATTTCTCACCAGCATGCCAAAAGCTGCATTGGCTGAGAAATTTTAAATTATTGTTCTAAAATAGCTAGACGCAAACAGATTACAGAAAGCTTGTACTACACCAGAGTTCCCCAACCTTTGCGGACTGGTGGCGGGGAGGGGGAGAGGAGATGGTTCTGCGCATGCGGCTGGCAAGCACGCACATGCGCAGCTCCATTTGCATGAGCGGTGGGCACACTGCTCGCCCAAATGGAACGCACATGCTCGCCCACTGCTCACATAAGTGGGGATGCGCGCGTGCTTGCTCACTGCTTCTGCGGCCCAGTTTTGAATGGCTCACAACCCAATAGTGGGCTGCAGCCTGAGGGATGGGGACTCCTGTACTACACTGATTCAGCTTATGATATTTGTGGGTACTCTACAGTGAGATTCACCATCTGAGACTGATAGAAACTTCATTCAAGTCCTAACCAAGGACCTAAGAATGATTAAAGTAATATCTAAAAATATAGGCAGTTCCAACCAGTTCCTAATTTTGTAAAATTAGGGTGTTCGTGTCTAATGAATTCAATATTTCCAGATACTGAAGGATTCCTTTAGGTTATGCTCCAATCAAAATTGGTATAACAACAGATTTTTTTCCATCAGTGTTCAGCTTTGATCTGCAAGTTCTGATATTCATATTTTTTCCCAATTGTTTTTCCTCAGTCATAGCATCATCCAAAATAGCAACATAAATGAACCAGACTTTCTTCTTTTCAATAAATGTTATATCAGGCATGTTAGTAACAAGATGCTTGTCTGTTTGTTTCTTAAAAGTCCCATAAAATGTTAACCTACTCATTTTCCAAAACCTTCTCAACTTGATGGTCCCAAATTCAAATTCAAACCTCTGGCAATGTTTCCAATGCTGTTTCTGGTAGTTTGTGAAATTTTGCTTCAGCCACTAATCAAATGGTCAATTGTGTCAGCCTTTTTACTACAAAGGCAATATTTGCTATTATTTGTAACATGTTACATATTCACCTTCACACAACTAGTTGGCAAAGTTTGTACTTGAGCTAGTAAAATAAAGCCTTCAGTTTCTTTCTCTAACACTCCTGATCTTAACCAACTCCATGTGGTTTTTTTTTTAATCAGCTTTTCCTTCTATATCTTTCATGTATTGACTTGTTCTTTCAATTAATGTCAGTTTCCAGTTGTTTCTTTTCTATACTCAGCCTTCACTTTTGCAACTTTCAAGAGCTGTCCTTGATTGAATGCCTTCAGCAAGGATTCTTGGCTTTTCTTAATGCAGCCATTCAGACCATGCTTTTTTTTTTCTCTCCACAGTTTGTTTCACCTTTGAAGCTTCTTCAATTCTTGGCAAATAAGAGCCAATCAATATCACTTTTTGGGTACAAAGCATGGTCCGATGTCATTAGTTTTCTTGTCTTCCAATTCAAGTCATCAGTATTATTATTATTTTGTGCAATTCAAGAGAGCATACATAATGCTCTCACTTCCTATTTTCCCCAAAAGCACCACTCTGTAAGGTTTTAATAAGTCCCTTATTTGAAAAAAACAACAACAATTGGGATAGTATGATTTTAATACATCAAGAGAGAGAGAGAGAGAGAGAGATACACATATATACACATATATACACATACATATACACATATATAAAGATTTCTTCTTCCCATATTTGGGCCAACCGGGTGCATCATAAAAAACACTTAAGATACACACACATATATATAAAATAAAAATGTATATGTGCCTTTTTTGTCAAGGATAATTTCACCTCCTTTTGCTTGAGAATGTCACATAATTGCAAAAAGAAAAAACAAAATCCAGCCACCCAACAACTCCCATTTCTAATGTTTTTACTTTCCTTTCTCATGTAGGAGGTACTGCCTGTGTGATAACCGGTCAACCATTTGACACCGCAAAGGTGAAAATGCAGACATTCCCCACCATGTACCAAGGGCTTGTGGACTGTTGTGTGAAGACCTATAAGCAAATAGGGTTCCGCGGCTTCTACAAGGGGACCACCCCTGCACTTGTGGCAAACATTGCTGAAAATGCCGTGCTCTTTATGTGTTATGGCTTTTGCCAAAATATTGTGAGGAAAATTGCTGGTCTAGACAGGAAAGCAAAGCTGAGGTTAGTGTATTATTCCCTCAATCGCTCTGCAACTAATAGAAGTTTTTTTTTTTAAAGTATCAGAGTTCAGAAGTAGAAGTGCAGTTCCCACACCAGAAAATGGGATCCTGTTGAAATAGAAACGCTGCTCCTTGATTCACACGTTTTTTTCTTTTAATTACATCTTGATTCTCCTCTGCATTTCTGGTACTTAGGACAAATGACAGTGGTTTAAAACAAAAATAGCCGTGGATGAAATCCTTAAGTTTTGATTAATTGAGCCATAAGCTTTCTCCAAATAATTCACTTAAATTAGGTAATGCGTCAGACAATATTCCAGGCAACCCAGCCTGCTACTATGGCTTTCCCAGTGAGATTGTTTTAAAGAAGAGTCTGCAAGAGCTACTTCTTTTGTCACATAGAAGAAACTCTGAAAATCTTTTCCTTGCCTTCTTATTCCTGAAGGAATGGCAAGAAAACTTGCTGTTTGTAACGTGGCACTTTCTGTCCTTACTTTACCTTAAACCAAGGATGGGAAGTTCACGGGCTGCACGTGGTCCTTCATCTGCCCCGGATTGAGCCACTGAAATTCAGTGGCAGAATGTCTGATTTGGGGTGGGGGGATGCTTTATCTTTTTTTTTTTTCAAATATATGAGTGGGAATGTAAGCAGGAGGCTTTTCAGAGACCTAAAAACATGTTTGCGATCCAGGTGCTGGAATTGGACAGCAGAAACTCAATTATGCAATTTCATCCTGTTTGGGGAGTTTCTTAAATAAGGATGGGAATAAAAGTGGCTTGCTCCCATTTCCACTGTACATCCCTACCAACACCTTGAAAAGCAGGTGAAAAATACTGAACTCTTCCCCTTCTGTGGATGTCACTATGTCATTGGATGGTTTCCTGTGACTCCCCAGAAAATCAGGAGGCTGAGTTGAGGTCCCCAATCTAAAGAAATTGCTCGCCTCTGTTTTAAACCATGGTTTGCTGAGGGAATCCTAAATAGCTGGCTCTATAACATGATAAATGATAAGGCATAGATTACAGTCACCGTGGCTAGAGTCATATGATAATTGAACCAAAATTCAAATCATATGATGGCTTTGCATAATATATAAACTACATCCATCCACTCTCTTCCAGCTTATCCAGACACTGATTTCTTTGCAGATGAGGTTTTTGTATTCCTTGCTAGTCAGATGTCTATAGCAAAGGGCGTTCCAATGAAAATCCAGTTGATAGATTTCAGGTCAGCAACAGGCAGGGAATATATTTTTTCCATATCGCATTTCTTAAAGAATTATATCTGGAATTTACCTGTTTGCGGCTGTTAGTCAATTGGCAGAATCATGTGAGGCTTCAGTAGATCCCCCATGGATCTGCTAATCTGACCTGTGACCTTTGACAAATATATGATTTTCTTTCAGAGAGTTGCATGATTAGATCACCTGTTTATTCGTAAGACCAATGAATGATTTTTTAAATGTTAATCATTGACAACATTAATTTCAAAAAATCCTAAAGTTAAAATTAAAATGAACAAAAATAAAATATATAATATCAGCTTAGCTTCTTTTAAAGCCAAATAGATTGCAAAACAGCTCTAGGGCTGCTAAGCTTGTGTGAAAGTTGATGAACTTAAGAGGGAGTATTAACATCCTTTTAATGCCTATGAGTTGCGCTAAGTTAAAGGATTCTTGAAGATGGATGCAGGACATTTGAAACTTTTGAAAAGATAGAATACTCAGGACAATAGGAAAACAAACTATAGAAGCCAACAGGAGCGAATGAATTCTGGAGTTTGAAAACGTTTGCAGGACTGCTCCATTTAGATCAGGGGTCTTCAGACTTGGCCCTTTTATGACTTGTGGACTTCAACTCCCAGAATTCCTCAGCCAGCATGCCTGGCTGAGGAATTCTGGGAGTTGAAGTCCACAAATCATAAAAGGGCCAAGTTTGAAGACCCCTGATTTAGATCATCCAGGCATCCAAGGATAGGCAAAGCAAAAATAGAAATACTGTGGAAATATGCTGGACCACTGAGCAATAAAGGATGGTGACTGAAAAAAATGGTTACAAAACTCTTATCACATCCCCAACTTCTTTCTTTCCCCTAATTTCATTACTGGAAGTGTTTATCACTGTTGACCAATTACCCATTGAAAACAACAAAAAGAGACTATGCTTACTTTAAAAAAGGAATATCTTGATACATTTTGATAGGCAGTAACATACTTGAAATTGTTATAGACCACTCTTTTCCTTTAATCTTGGTACAAAAAGACCCTTATCTATTATATTTATACAGTATCCAGTTTTACAGCAGGGAATTTAAAAGATGTTTCATTAAATCCAGTGTAGAAAGCATGATCATGGTGATAGGATGATTTATCCCATTAATTATACATATAAAATTCAAGACGGCGAGCATACCTAATACTCCTGCCTTCTGTTTTCCCCACAACAGCCACCCTGTGGTTCACTCAGTCAGGTGGGATGCTTAAAATGCTCCTTTGCTATCTCTTTCTAGAATTACTTGCAGCAGTGACTGAGTCAAGGCATGCCAGCCTTGAGCTTTATGTGATTTCCATATATAGTACAGGGGTCTTCAAACTTGGCCCTTTTATGACTTGTGGACTTCAACTCCCAGAATTCCTCAGCCAGGCACGCTGGCTGAGGAATTCTGGGAGTTGAAGTCCACGAGTCATAAAAGGGCCGAATTTGAAGACCCCTGATATACTAGATACATGTTGTCTTTTTTGCAGCGACCTTCAAAATGCAGTGGCTGGCTCCTTTGCTTCTGCCTTTGCCACTTTGGCCCTCTGCCCTACAGAGCTTGTGAAGTGCCGCTTGCAGACCATGCACGAATTGCAATTATCTGGGAAGATAGTGCAACAGCACAAGTAAGTAATTCGTCAGCCTCAACCCTGCCTGCCTTTTCCAGGTTTGGAAGTGATGTGACCCTTTTAATGAGTTTATTTCTCTGTACTTAACATGCGTGTATTTTTTTTTTTAAATTATGTTTCTTATATTTTTTTTATTACATTTTTATTGATTTACTGTTTTTTAAATTTAAATTAAGAATTTTTCACAGAGTAAAAGATAAATGGAAGGAAAGAAGGAAGGGGAAAAAACAAAAATTAGGAAATAGAATCACTTCCCATCTTTTTCCCCAATTTGAGTTATAATCATATAGCCCCTCCTCTTAGATATTATACAAGTCTCTTCAGCCCTTCATTTAGTCTACCTAAATGAGGGAATAATTTAGTGCAGGGGTAGGCAACCTTGGCTCTTTTATGACTCGTGGACTTCAACTCCCAGAATTCCTGAGCCAGCATGGCTGGCTCAGGAATTCTGGGAGTTAAAGTCCACGAGTCATAAAAGAGCCAAGGTTGCCTACCCCTGGTTTAGTGTTTCTCTCATGACTAGATAATTTGTGCCTCACCGGATGCAAATGAACTGCAGCTTAGGATCTGTCCAACATCTACCACAGTTTTCCTGTTTTAAATAATAGGCAAGATTCCTAGAAGCTTAATCACTGGCAATTAAGATAAAAGTTTTTTTTTAAATCAGGGATTAGTAGTATTTAGACATCTATAATCAAAAATTTGTACCAAACTACTTCTGACATGGGTTTTTGAGAAACACACAGCTTAATTTTAACTATTGATATGGACTGTGATTTGACAGTACTCCAAGACAGGAACTAGACATCTTTGGAAGCAGTTTTTCCAGCTAGCTTTTCCCATCATTAGCTGGCAACCTATGTTTATAATAATATTATTTTTCTTCTCCTAGTACAGTTTGGTCAGTAATCAAAAGTGTTCTGCAAAAGGACGGCCCCCTCGGCTTCTATCGTGGTTGGTTCAGCACTTTACTACGTGAAATTCCAGGCTATTTTTTATTCTTTGGAGCTTATGAATTCAGTCGGACCTTTTTGGCATTCGGAAAACCAAAAGAGGAATTAGGTATGTCTGCGCTTGCTAACAATATAATTTCTTGTCTTGAGATAAATACAGCTTCTTTTAATCCCACCCTTGCTGACTTTCGACCCCAAAGGATTTCTACATAATAAAAAAAATCTTGCGGCCTGCTCAAAATGTTCTCATATAAACACAGTAGCTTTAAATTATTTATTTATGGCATATCACACATAGACTAGCAGCCTTAAAGATTATTATTATTATTATTTTATTAAATTTATATCCCGCCCTTCTCCTTGCGGACTCAGGGCGGCTAACAATCAGATAAAATACATAAATAACATTACGATTTAAAAATTAATTAAAAAGGAAATATTTAAATTTAATTTAATTAAAATATAATTAAAACCCCTCTGAAAGTTTCCCCTAGGCCAGTCCCGCAAGCTGGAACAACCATGTCTTAAGGGCGCGGCGGAAGGAAGGGAGATCAGGGATCACCCTGATCTCTGGGGGCAGTTCATTCCAGAGGGTGGGAGCTCCCACAGAGAAGGCCCTCCCCCTTGGGGTCGCCAGCCGGCACTGTCTGGCTGACGGCACCCTGAGGAGACCCACTCTNAATATATAATATCAGCTTAGCTTCTTTTAAAGCCAAATAGATTGCAAAACAGCTCTAGGGCTGCTAAGCTTGTGTGAAAGTTGATGAACTTAAGAGGGAGTATTAACATCCTTTTAATGCCTATGAGTTGCGCTAAGTTAAAGGATTCTTGAAGATGGATGCAGGACATTTGAAACTTTTGAAAAGATAGAATACTCAGAACAATAGATAGGCCTGGAAAACAAACGATAGAAGCCAACAGGAGCGAATGATTCTGGAGTTTGAAAACGTTTGCAGGACTGCTCCATTTAGATCAGGGGTCTTCAGACTTGGCCCTTTTATGACTTGTGGACTTCAACTCCCAGAATTCCTCAGCCAGCATGCCTGGCTGAGGAATTCTGGGAGTTGAAGTCCACAAATCATAAAAGGGCCAAGTTTGAAGACCCCTGATTTAGATCATCCAGGCATCCAAGGATAGGCAAAGCAAAAATAGAAATACTGTGGAAATATGCTGGACCACTGAGCAATAAAGGATGGTGACTGAAAAAAATGGATACAAAACTCTTATCACATCCCCAACTTCTTTCTTTCCCCTAATTTCATTACTGGAAGTGTTTATCACTGTTGACCAATTACCCGTTGAAAACAACAAAAAGAGGCTATGCTTACTTAAAAAAAAGGAATATCTTGATACATTTTGATAGGCAGTAAGATACTTGAAATTGTTATAGACCACTCTTTTCCTTTAATCTTGGTACAAAAAGACCCTTATCTATTAATGATATTTATACAGCATCCAGTTTTACAGCAGGGAACTTAAAAGATGCTTCATTAAATCCAGTGTAGAAAGCATGATCATGGTGATAGGATGATTTATCCCATTAATTATACATATAAAATTCAAGACGGCGAGCATACCTAATACTCCTGCCTTCTGTTTTCCCCACAACAGCCACCCTGTGGTTCACTCAGTCAGGTGGGATGCTTAAAATGCTCCTTTGCTATCTCTTTCTAGAATTACTTGCAGCAGTGACTGAGTCAAGGCATGCCAGCCTTGAGCTTTATGTGATTTCCATATATAGTACAGGGGTCTTCAAACTCGGCCCTTTTATGACTTGTGGACTTCAACTCCCAGAATTCCTCAGCCAGGCACGCTGGCTGAGGAATTCTGGGAGTTGAAGTCCACGAGTCATAAAAGGGCCGAATTTGAAGACCCCTGATATACTAGATACATGTTGTCTTTTTTGCAGCGACCTTCAAAATGCAGTGGCTGGCTCCTTTGCTTCTGCCTTTGCCACTTTGGCCCTCTGCCCTACAGAGCTTGTGAAGTGCCGCTTGCAGACCATGCATGAATTGCAATTATCTGGGAAGATAGTGCAACAGCACAAGTAAGTAATTCGTCAGCCTCAACCTTGCCTGCCTTTTCCAGGTTTGGAAGTGATATGACCCTTTTAATGAGTTTATTTCTTTGTACTTAACATGTGTGTATTTTTTAAAAAAATTATGTTTCTTATATTTTGTTTTATTACATTTTTATTGATTTACTGTTTTTTTAATTTAAATTAAGAATTTTTCATAGAGTAAAAGATAAATGGAAGGAAAGAAGGAAGGAAGGGGGAAAAAAAAATTAGGAAATAGAATCACTTCCCATCTTTTTTTTCCAATTTGAGTTAGCCCCTCCTCTTAGATATTATACAAGTCTCTTCAGCCCCTCATTTAGTCTACCTAAATGAGGGAATAATTTAGTGCAGGGGTAGGCAACCTTGGCTCTTTTATGACTCGTGGACTTCAACTCCCAGAATTCCTGGTTTAGTGTTTCTCTCATGACTAGATAATTTGTGCCTCACCAGATGCAAATGAACTGCAGCTTAGGATCTGTCCAACATCTACCACATTTTTCCTGTTTTAAGTAATAGGCAAGATTCCTAGAAGCTTAACCACTGGCAATTAAGATAAAAGTTTTTTTTAAAATAGGGATTAGTAATATTTAGACATCTATAATCAAAAATTTGTACCAAACTACTTCTGAGATGGGTTTTTGAGAAACACACAGCTTAATTTTAACTATTGATATGGACTGTGTTTTGACAGTACTCCAAGACAGGAACTAGACATCTTTGGAAGCAGTTTTTCCAGCTAGCTTTTCCCATCATTAGCTGGCAACCTATGTTTATAATAATATTATTTTTCTTCTCCTAGTACAGTTTGGTCAGTAATCAAAAGTGTTCTGCAAAAGGACGGCCCCCTCGGCTTCTATCGTGGTTGGTTCAGCACTTTACTACGTGAAATTCCAGGCTATTTTTTATTCTTTGGAGCTTATGAATTCAGTCGGACCTTTTTGGCATTTGGAAAACCAAAAGAGGAATTAGGTATGTCTGCGCTTGCTAACAATATGACTTCTTGTCTTGAGATAAATACAGCTTCTTTTAATCCCACCCTTGCTGACTTTCGACCCCAAAGGGTTTCTGCATAATAAAAAAAATCTTGCGGCCTGCTCAAAATGTTCTCATATATACACAGTAGCTTTAAATTATTTATTTATCATACATAGACTAGCAGCCTTAAAGATTACTGCTGATTAAAGAAAAAAAAGCCCAATCCAAATTAGGTGAAGAAGAACCAGTGTCCATTCTTTCCTTCAGTTCCTGACCTACACAAAAAACAACAACAACCTAACAGCAGCCAAGTCAGAGAATTAGCAGAGAATTGGGCAACTTAATAGCCAACACACCCAAATAATGTTTCAAGTGATTTTCATAACTCACCAATACACTGTACCTTAAACAAACATGTTTACCTGCTTTAGTAGGATACGGGAGCTGTTTTGTTGTTTTTTTTTACAAAATTGCGGGTTGGGGGAAATCACTTGGGGTATTTTTTTGCTATCATATTACAATATGCTACAATATATTAAGCTCCTGCTGCTTGTTTCTATAGGTCCGGTTGCATTGGTGCTCAGTGGTGGCTTTGGTGGCATGTGTCTCTGGATTGCTGTTTACCCAGTGGACTGCGTCAAATCTAGGATCCAAGTTCTTTCCATGGCAGGAAAACAGACTGGCTTTATGAGAACTTTTGCAAGTGTTGTCAAGAATGAAGGTTAGAATATGAGAGAGACTAATGAGCCCATGGGTGACGGTATCCCTTAACTTCTGCAAAGCCACAGCTGTCAGCTGTCCCCTATACTTTTTTATGAGGGGGGGGAACAAAACAAATCTGGCTGTTTTCCAGAGAGCACTTACTTGGTTTTCACAGGTGATGGTCACATATTTATTTTCGGTGGCATTAGGTCGTTTCTCTCTTCAAAATAACATGTGCCTGGACCACGTATTTCGCTAAAAAGAACCAGCTGGTTGTCAATTTACATCTGTTGGTGCTGCTACTCATTTTCTATGTAATGACAGGAAGTTAAATTGCAGGGCCAGATTAGGATAGATTATCAGCATGATCAGATAACCATTACTTTTAGGAATGATGGTTGAATACAGCCAGAAAGAAAAAAGTAAGACCCTTTCAAGGCCGAGGTTGGCAAAAGACTAGAAAGACAGGATTTAAAATGTTACTTATTACTACATAAACCTGAAATAGCGCTTAGGAAGTAAATGTAACTTAATCGTGGACTGTTGTAGGACAGTTTGCCTGTTTGTGAATGTGTATAGTCACGGTAACAGGATGTCGATTTCACTCATGCTAATTCATGGTTTGTTGAATAAAGCAGTTGGCTGAGTTTACAGAAGAGATTAAATCACAAAACAATAATCCACATTTGAATTTAGTATAATATGTAAACCCAGCTCCTCTCTGTCTCCATCATCTCATGCCCTTAGAATGATTAGATAATTAGTCTTTAGGATCAACCTCTTTTTACATACAGCGGGCTTTCCTGACCTGCCCCCTTCAGGTTTGGGCTGCAGCTCACATCATCCCCAGTAATGTTCCATATCACAGCACAGTAATCCAAAAGCAAATCGTATTGTGACTGTTTAAGGCTCTAGAATAGAACAAGGGTTCCTAAGTGAAGGACAAATAATGTGTATGTCATCATGCAAATGATGCAACTTACATATTTGACTTAAATATGACTTTACATAATTACATTATTTGTATTATATCTACCTATACTATACTTTTTATAAACTGTACACTCATTTCAGCTGTTGTTCAGATTCCTTCTCTTGCACTTAGCAGCCTTCTGGTCTAATTTTCTGTAAGAAAGTTAAGTTGCATAACCCGTGAATCCATGATGAATTTAACCCCTTTAAGATATAATTAACCTATGACACTGGTTCTCAACCTGTGGTCCGCTATCATAAGAGAGGGTCCACAAAGCCTTGAAGAACTGTTATGATTTAAATCTTGAGTTAAGTCTTGGGGGTCCATGGCCACAGTCCATGACCACAAAAGGTGAAAAAAAAGATTGAGAACCACTGACCTATGATAGTCACGGTCCAGATAAAAATTTAGATTTATTTTTCCTTTCAAATGCACTATCTCCAAATCAATTGCAAGATAGATTTATATATATAGTTTTATTATTAATATAACCCAGTCATTTCAGTCTTACAATTTCTTCTTTTATTTTTCGAACAGATTAAATTGCTTAAGAGATTTTTGAACATTATCAACATGTTAAAGTAAGGTAAAAAATTTAGATAAGGAAAAAATCATCTGATCAACCCAAAAATATATAACAGTGTCTTCCGAATTTGCAGGCAAGCTGAAATTCCTAAAAGTTTAGCTTTTGTTGGATTTCCTTCTTCAGTTTTAAATCAGTGCAATATAGTCTGAGTTTTTTAAAAAAGTGATGGAAATGAAATTCTAAGGTAGTTTTTCTAATGCTTAATGTCTTCCTCATAGGTGTGTTTGCCTTGTACTCTGGACTGAAACCTACGATGATCCGTGCATTCCCAGCCAACGGTGCCCTGTTCCTTGCCTATGAATACAGCCGTAAACTGATGATGAACCAGTTTGATAGCTAGAACTTTTATCACAGACTGACATCATTGGAGTATGTGTGGTCACCACAGCAATTGCCCAAGTGTGAGTGACAGATTTTAAAATCTGAGAGTGAAATGACTGCGATTTTTTTAAAAAAATGATTTCAGTAAAAATACTGTATTTTCTAAATGTTGTGTGGTTTGTGGATTTATACATCTAGATCAGCACTGATACTACATGATCTTATAAGGGATTTTAATTACTCACTTCTGTAGAAATTTTAGGTATGGGACTTTAAAAAAAGAATATGCTGCAATACCAGTTAACTGTAAGTTTGCAACATAAGTGACTGCACTAGAAGTATCTTAATATTCTGGAAAGCTGAGCAGGAGGTGCATTGCAGAGTAGTTTTTATAATGTTCCACATTAGTTAATTTATATACAACTCTACTTATTGGTGATTTGATTTTCACACAACAGAGAACACTGGGAAGCACTTTACACATAAACTGACTTTAAAAAATCACTTGTAATCCAGTACCCAATATTTCTCTATAATGTTCCATGTTCCCAGAATGTAATGCTATTGCTCTAATCAGCATTCTGTTGATTAATCAGATTTTTTTTCATTTTCTAATGACATATAATCTACACAAGTCTAAACATTTCTCTTAAAAGGTATTAATATAATCTGCTGTGTTTAGCTATAATCATATTTCTTAGTTGTAGCATATTATTAGTAGCGATATGGACAACAGTTGGCTCAACCTCTATAACAATGCTTTGGAATGGAGTGATATTGTAGTCTGCATTTAGCTCACTGATACTGCATCTGAATTCAACGTACAGAACAAGCTTTTAGCTGAAACTCAATGTATTTAACAATATCCTTCACAAATATGCATGTTACCAACTAATTTTAGATGCGTCAAACATCTTGGAATACAGTAGTAGCAAATTCCGCATTACCTGCTAATTTTGGAAAGTCAAAGTAGCATTAATAACTTATTAAACACTAGATAACTTTTTTCAAAATTGGCAGCTTTAAGATGTGCAGACTTCAACTCCCAGAATTCCCCAGCCAGAATATTAGCTGGAGAACTCTCGGAGTTGAAGTTCATACCTCTTAAAAGTTGACAAGTATGCAATACACTGCAATAGATTGTATAACAGAATATCTAATGTTGCTTGACAGGTTTGCATACAGATGATTAGAAGGACTGGCAATATTTCAGAATAAAAATACAGCATATGATTTTTATTGATATTAGATGTTAAACCTGTCCTTACATATTACACAAAATTATTTCCATACTGTACATTTTTCTGATGCTGGTATACCATTTGACCTATGCTTCCAGCTACCAATTTTATCATCAAAAATTATTTTTCACATTATCTATTCCAATGTTGGGCAGCATAGTGTAAATGAAATTATAAAATTATATAAATCATACATTAAAACTAGGAGAAGCATAGAGGGAAAGCATTTCATTCCTTCAGGATATTGTGCTGATAATATATATGAAATGACAAAACATCAAAATGGAACTAATATAAAGCTGCTAAACTGGAATTCATGAACAAATATTATATTGTAACTAGATCAACAGGTAGAATTTCTAGCTTGCTAAAGAAAACATGAAAGGTTTTTTTCTAAGGAAAAATTTGGGGAGGTAATGTAATCACTTACATGCATTATCTATGGTGAAGGAGCCATCATCATCACATATCATAAATTCCAGCCATTTTAAAAACAATGAACTCCTGCTGCAACTTTTCCTAACATGATATTCTCCATACACAAACCCCTATCCTGCCTGGAAACTGAATTGTGAATTTAAAGCCTTCCCAGTCAATGCAAATTGTGAAACTAACTGTTGGTACAATGTTGGGAGTTCCCACATGTGGGATAAAAATTATAAAAAATATACTAGGTCAGAAACTCAGTAAAAGGCCACTGGAATGCAGAGAGGTAGGAAAAGCAGGTAGAATCTTTGCTCTCCAACCTTGGGGCATCATGGCTCACACATGAATCTGATGAATCTGGCATCAGAAGCCATTACAATATAGTTAAGCCACATCTCCAGACTCCCAGTCATAAACTGCTATTGGAAATTGGCCAATAACCCAGTCATTTTGGGGGGATAGAAAGATAAAAGATTTTTAAAAGGTCAGAATAAGATAACGAAGAACTTGTGAACTTGCTACTGAGTTTACATAGAGGGGTAGGGAGCAGTAAAACTCACTGAAGGCCCTTTAATTTTCTTACACAGAATCCAGATGGCAAAATTAATTGTTGTAATCATGATAGTGCACTAGGCATTAGTTTTATTTTTACATTCAAGGTGATTCTGAACACTGAGAAGGAGTAGTGTCAAAATACAATTCCATACCAGGTGCAAAACCAGGTTACTAAATGATTATGCAATTCCCAGTTAAGTCTGTTTCTGCTTGCTTCAGTCATGGGTCAGTGAAATTTAACTCCACAGCAAAATTATCTCTGAACATCTTCCACATCTTTGGCTTGTTTAAGTTATCGATTTCATTTCTTGTGAGGAAAAGTCTAGGGAAAAGAGAAAAAAAAACAGTTCTCTAATGTAAATTATTTAAGCTTTTGCATAGAAGAGAACAAAATAGTTTTTCTAATAACTTTAGCATTTTCAAATAACTTTTCCCAGAAAAATATTCAGCTCTTCAGCTATCCTTTGGTTCCCATTAAGAATGCACATGCCTGCCTCTTGTGCATGGGTAGTGCCATTGTGACTCTGCAAATGCTATCATTCACCTCCAAACATTACTCATAGAAAAAATGACAGGTGTGTCATATCTAAGAAAGCTGAATTTTCAAACACATAAAACTCACACTTTCATGAGTATTGGCATTTGGCAATACTCATTTATGATGATGATGACACAAATTGATGCAATTGGGAGGGAAAAGCGTATAAATGCACTCAAATAAGTAAATATAAATAGTTTGAGAAGAGCATAGTTTGGGAAAAGAATATAATAGCTTGAATGCAAAATAAATTCTAGTCAACGTTAAATGTATTTCCAAACATTAGCAAACAAGCAATATGAAACAGCTTAATAGTCTAAAGAAAGAGAGAAATATCACTTGCAATGGAAATTATCCCCTTGCTTAAAAGCACTTAGGTGCCACCCTAGTATTTTGTATCTCCTACATGGCAAATAAAATTATCTGCAGTGACAAACCGAATGGTACCATTGAGGACTTATTTTCAAAAAAAGTTGTGAGCTTTTCTTAGAGACTTAGTAAGCTTTATAAATCCATTAAAGTAAAAACAGTAATACGAACATCCCTCTACATGGTAGAGGCATTTTTTTAAAGCTGGTATTCTCTAAAGAGTTGGCTCATACTAAGCAATATTAAAAGGCAGGCCCCCTTTTCTCTATAGACTATCCATAAAAAATACACAACCCCATAGAAATAAAGAAATGCTGGTCTCTTTCTGTGGAGACTTGAGCTAGGTTTCTGTAATCTAAAGTCTTTTATACACTGGCTCATAGGTCTGGGTGCATTTTGGCTTTCTTTTCCATGTGTACTTTCAAACATATAACTTACTGATAGTCATGTATAAAAGCTGTATGGAACCAAAAAAAGAAAGCACAGCCATCGTAGCCTTTTGGAATATCCTACATTTTAAAAAAAGACAAGAAATACAGTTAATGCTACTTGGATAAAACATCATCACAGCCAAATCATAGAAAGAACTGAAATCGACTTCCGGTTTGCCATCGCGGTGTTGGCAGACGCATGGAGATGAGTTCCGTCTTCAGTGTCCGGTTTTATCCCGCTGGGGGACCCTGGAAAGGGTCGAAAGTCACCCTGTAGGGGCGATGAGCAAGGAGAGGGCCCCCGTTTGATAGCGGAAGGGCAGCAGCCCTTCCGCTTGATCCAGGGCAGCTTTCCAAACCGGCGTGGAAAAGACCGGCCATAGCAATATGGCTTGTCATTAAGCTGCTGACAGCTGAAGTCAAAGCTACAACCAAGCACATTTAAAGCAACACGGATGAAACTGGGTGAGATTTGATCTTCTCTTTAAGACTTTAAATATTTTTCCTGCAAAAGCTGCCCAAAGTATTTCTCCCCCTGTGAGGAGAGAGGGAAGGGAATTCTTACCCCACCCTCTAAGAATAGTAGCGATTGACTACCTAGGGGAAAAGAGCAATTATAAGAACAATTCTAACTTAATTGGATGCATATACCTTTGAAATCTGGAAACTAAAAGTTTTCCTATCCTTATTGGAGATAATGGCTTTTATTTAAAAAGAAAAGAAATAAACCTTGAAAAACTATTATTAAAACTCGGGATCTAAAAAGTTTTAAATGGCATTGGTGACATCTTGTGGCGAAATATGCTATTACAATTTGTTATTGACTAAAAGAGACTTGGCTGGAAGCCCAGAAATTAGAAAAAAACCCTCTCGACCTTGACATACCACCTGTGAGAAACACAGCTGTAAAGAAGGAACTGCAAGGCAGTTTATCTGGCCTGTTTGAACTATGAAGATAAACCTTTATTGACTTTCAGAATTATATGTGGGAAATTGTTTTCCTATTTCTTCACACGAGAAGTCTTTGTTACTACACGAGATGATGGAATACTTTGGACTATAAATTCTTACCTGCCAAACAATTTTTACTATAAGACTATCCGCAACATGTGAAATAGATGTCACACATCTAGCTACAAAAACTATTTTTAACATTTGATTTTAAAATCCTTAATTTAATATATTATCAAGAGAATAGGGATGGAGATCAGGAAAAAATCCTTTCTATGTTGAAATCAATACATGAAACCATTCTTTCAGCATGTAACAAGATAAGAGACAACATAAAGGAACAAGATGCCAGCTTAAATATACAGACCCAGATTTTGACTACAACCAAAGACCCAACAATGCAGAAAGCAACAGGAGAAATGGAACAACTAAACATTAAGACAGAGGACCCAACTGACCAACAGATCCAGCCAACGGGGAAATTAGAAAAGAGAGTGAAAACATTGAAAATGGAAAAGATTTTTTTCATAAATCAGAAGAAAATTGAAGAAAAGGAAGAAGAACAGACTGAATGGAAGATAAACTTATTAGGACAACTGTGGGAAACTGGAATAATGGCAAGGTGATCAAAGAAATATAATGGGGCTAGTTTTTCCAAAAAAATTGTAATTAAATGGTTTTTCTTAACTCAAATAATATACATAATAATAGAGAGAGAACTGTTTGATGAATTAAAAGTACTGACATGGATGGTTAGTTGGCAAAGGAAAAAAGCCAGAGTAAGGCTGAAAGAAACTAGGGTTTTGATTTATTAGGGGGGATTTTATACTATTGATTAGAAGGCTGAAGATGGTCGAATATAGATAATTTTTTTAGAAAATAAAGTAATATTATAACTGAATATTTATTTATTTATATTTGGATTTATATCCCGCCCTTCTCCCGTAGGACTCAGGGCGGCTGACAATCTATTTAAAATACATACAAAACAATACAAATTTAAAATTAATTAAAAGGAATATTTAAATATTTGTCGAATTTTAAAATATAATTAAAACCCCCCTAAAAATTACCCTAGGCCAGTCCTGCAAGCTGGAATA